GCAGCCTAACATCCTGGGTCAGTGGCAGATGTTTCTCCAGAGGCAGAACACAGCCCAACATCTCCAGAAAGAACGCTGCTGATGGAAAAATCATTAAATCACCAGCACGGAACTCGTACACAGGTTCCAGAGTAGTGTAGAAGCTTTTGGTCTCTGTGCAGAGAGAACTGAGTGAGTACGCTTACATCCACTGAAGAGCCAGTTCTGCCCATTGCTGCTAAAATAGAAGCAGGCAATTGGGAGATGGCAGAAAAGTGTTAGATTTGAGGTTTAATCACCACCTCAGTTTCTTTGATGTAGCAGGTCAGATGCCAGCAGGAATCACTCCTGATGTTTGGTAAAGAAAGTACAATCCACGGATATTATTGCATGCACCATTTCACCAAAGTCCTAACCCATAAATCTAAAGCAAGATTTAGATGTTATCCACAACTATATACACATAATTCCTGAAGTTGGCTCTAGCCTGCTCTGCAAGAACATTAATGTATTTTGAGTGCTGACAACTAGCATGGATTTGAGTCACTGCACTCATTATATTTGCGTTTTTCTTTAAGTCCTAGCTCCTGGAGACAAACCACCATAGAGAATTTCAGCTTCCAACAAAATAAAGGTGGAAAGAAATCTGCTCCCTTGACTGAAGAGAACAACCTTAGACCTCACAAACCAAACCCAATGTCTGTCATAGTTTTATGTTCTCAAACAAACCTCACTGTTTTGCCAGAGGCCATCCTTACACCTTCTGAGTATTCAAAACCTGGCAATTATGAGAATTCATCTGCAAGTCACCAGAAGCTGGTTCTTTCTTAAATGGACAGAGCTGATTTCATGTGTTACTCAAACAAGGTTTCCCCGGATATAAGACAGGGCCAGGTCCTCGAGAGCTGGACTAACGGCAGTTTCTTTTAGCACATGTACATGGAGAAAGAAAAACTGTTCAGAGCTGCAAATCAAGCACCTGCTTATTGCTGTGTGTGTTCCAGCCGCCCTCCAGCACTGAGACAAAGAAGCCATTCGGACCACATTCCTACATTACATTTCCTATTTTGCCAGACAATATTCATGGGGGTCTGTTTCTCCTCTTCTGCAGGCTGGCAAAATGTTAAACAAATATTTTTCAACTGCAAGAGGAACTGACATTTTAGGATATGAAAACAAGGAGGAAGGGCACAAATTTAAGGACCTCCAAGGAACAGCATGCATACAAATAATAATAAAATGGTGACTTTGTAGTTCCACTTAGTTATGTTTTTTGAACAAGCAATTCGATAGCTTAGTTGGTGGACACATCAGCTTTCTGCTGTTCTGTAATACAAGATCAGGCTCAGATTCTTACAGCTGTGAAGAGCAACAGCAGCACAAGAAATAGAACAGGTTTTAAGTGCTACATGGATTCAACATATTGTTAGTCTTAGATGTGATTTGACTGAACAATACAAGCACCAGGACACAGAACTACAAAATTAATCCTTTGGTTTACTGTCTTCCTATTCTTTTGTTTGTGGTGAGTGCAAGATTTCCTTTAGGCTATGCAGATCCATGTTTACAGGCAGTCTTCTATTAGCACATATATGGCTTGACTACCTTGCAGAGGCTGTTTTAAAGTTTCCCCATTTTTTAAAACCAAGGATTTCTCCATGAGGGTCTCTGTCGCCTGTCTTAGCTGAGCCCTAGGGTTCCTGTTTTCACATGGATAGCTTTGATGTCTGATATCAAGTATTCAGAAATCAAGTAAACACTGAAAATAGTTGACAGCTGCTCACAAGCTTCTCATGACTCCCTTGCTCCACTCATAGCACAACCCTGATCATGAGTTTAACTGCACGGCTGAGGGGTCACAAAACTCCACAGGTTGGCTGTCTAGGGTCAGTTTTAGTTAAAAGTAGCTGTCTTAATGCTGATTGCCACCCACCTCCTGCAGAAGTCACGGGTCACGATCATATGATGGAATTATTTGCAGCAGCAGATGTGAACGGAGATTCGCCAGATATAACTCTTGTTTCTGCATACCCCTTTCCATACCATCTTACTTCTCTCCATCCATACTTACTTCTCCTGAGGTACAAGGCTTTACAACTATTATTGCCTGGTCACCCCTAGCACTACCTGCAGCTGCTCTCCTCCCGTCCCTCTGGTCTTTTTGCTTCTGCTCCCTCGTAGACCTGAATCCATCACAAACCTCCACAACTTTCACCCAATGGGTCAAGTGTTTCGCTTTCATGTTGCCTTAGCCAAGATAAGGAGATAGCAACACACACATTAAAGAGAATCCAAAACAGTCAACTACCAAAACAAGACACTCCTTGGATGAACTGCTCCAACACAGAGAAAGGTGGGGGATAAAACACAAACAGATGTTACTCACACCGCTTACAGCTTGTCTGAAAAGCTCTACAAACCCCACTGTGACAAAGCGGTATAGATCTCTGAAGAGACTAAAGTCAGAGGAGTGCATTAGTACCATATCCATTGTTGTGTATGAAATACGTTTAAATTGCCTGAGAATATATAGTCAGCGAGAAAGAGAGGCCATCAGCAAATTACTTTGCCACATCCACGATGTGTTTTTTCACGTCATTTAAGCACTGGTCTAGCCTGGTACTGGGCCTGACAGACTAATAGGCATCTTGAATCAAACCAACTGCTTGTCGTGTCCAGGGAAGGATACACAAACCCAGCAGTACTCTGAAGTTCGCTGCCACATCACCGCCTGCAGTACTCCTTAGAAAGGGAGTAGTCAGGAAACTGCCACAGGCATAACTTTTCACACTGTTTTCTGTCAGTGTGAAACTATGGAAGCCAGAGATTGAGACTAATATAATCCAATAGATTAGAAATACCACGTCTAAAGACTACTTTTACGGAGCACTGATGATTGTCTTCCTTTGCTTTTGTACATTCCTCAGAAGTAATTTGCAAACCCTCAGAGCTTTGTGGGGATCCAACACAAAAGGCTCTGGGTTAAGATTTTCAGAGTGATGCAGGCACGCTGCAGACAGGCTACTATTTCCAGAGAGGCTTTGCAAAAAGACACACGAGGACACCCACACAGTTATGTTGGAAGAGTAGTTTTTGCCCTGTTGCTTCATCATACAATGGATTTGATGCTTTTAGGACCACCTTTTTTGGTCCATATTCTGCACAATGCTTCTACTAGCAGCTTCATTACAAAACTGGGTGTCTAAGTTTACCTTTTTTTTTTTTAAGAGCATGCACTCACAATGCCATCAGCCACAAGAGTCTAGCCATAACCGTAAACTTCATATGGAGGCTTCAGTCAAAGAACAGAGATGTGTAACTAAGAGAAAAAACAAAAACACCAACCCACCCCTCCCCCCCAACACTGCGACTTGAGTGCTCCAGCGAAACAAACAGTTTGGGGAAAAGGTTAGCAAGAGTTTACGCTAGACATCCGTATTTTCTAGGGACTCTGGCAAAGATAAAGCTGACTAAATGCTGTATTTTCTAACTCGGTGATCAGTCCAGTGATTTCAGCTTCTCACACTATGGGTATAGCATTTCTCACTGCCAACAAAAATTGACTGCGTACCTTCAAAAAGATGCTACCAGTGGAGGTGTCCGGTGCACACTGCAGAACCTACTATTACTCTCTTCCATCACAGTGATGATAACCTTAGAGTCGGTAAGACTACTGTGCTGTTCACAGATAATGTTGCTGTTATCTCTAGGCAGCTTCTACACAAAGCCATGTGCCTTGTGCCTTCTAGCAACAGCTGAATGTTGGGAAACACCTTGACATTCAGGTATTCTAACTGGAACCCCTTCAAGAAGACAAGATGCTCTCACAGATGACACAGCACAGGCTACGTAACAAGCTGTAGGGGAACATACCCACCAGCAGACAGTGCAAGAAAAACCTCCCTACAAGGAGAAGTTTCCTACTAAATCCTAAAATTGGGTTATGCCCTGAAATACGGGGATTTGTATCCCTGTAAAGCTCTCATTTAATTTGCTATTAATTCTGGAGTTTTTTGTTATCCATATCAAATTTCTAATCCTTTTTTCAAATCCCATAAGCCAAGCACTCTTGGTTTCCATGATACGTTGTGGTAGTTAAGTTCCAGAGTTTAAGGCACTGCCTGGAATCCAAGCACGGGGCTGGGAATCTGGCCTTCCTGGCTTTGCCACCACAGCCACTCCCCACCGAGTAGAAGGGTACTAGCTATGGATGATGCAAGAAAGTCCAGGTAGCATCACCCATTTAAAAAAAAAAAAAAAAAAAAAAAAAAAAAAAAAAAGAGAAAATTGCAGGTAGGGTGAATAATAGAAAACATTTAAAGGCTGGTACATGTTTTTCAGGAGTGCCTGCATGACTTCAATGCCCAGGTCATTTGGGTACTTTTGAAGTTCTTACTCATGCTCTATTTTTATAAATTTCTAGTTATTCTCATGTTACACATAGAAACTCTGCTCTCTTGAACCCACATCTAGAACAAGAACAGTGCCAGAATGGGACACGATTTGAGCCTGGCCACTTTCTCTGTACTGCTCATGAGTGTGACAGATCTAGATGAGGACCAGAAAAGCGGTTCCTGATACATTTCCCTTCTTTTTTTTTTTTTTTTTTTTGTTTTGTTTTGTTTTGTTTTTGGTTAAACATAAGCATAAAATCAAGTGTCTCGCCAAGTCTGGCCATCACCAGTGTAGAAGTATTAGTTTATTCTGATTCTTTTATGTTCCTCCTAAAGCTGTCACCTGCTGGAAGATAAATTAGTGTTTCAGTTTATGTTTATGGTAAACAACTAAGGCATTTTACCACCGAAGTCTCTAGTCATGCCAAAGCCAGTAACCGATGGAATATCCACGTTATGATGTTTAGGTACCATTTTTAGGAAGACAACCTCCTCAAGCTCCTGCTACAGCTGAAAGGGCAAGACAGGTTAACCTGGCAGCAAATCTAAGTAGAGCCTACAATCAGGTGCAACGAAAACTTCCCTTTGTCAAGTGCTGGCTTCCTTTGATTGGAAGGATTCACTGACCTGTCCCCACAAGTCCTCAGGATTTCTGGAAGCCCACGGTCACATCACGCTTCCCAAACTCTTTTCCCGTTCGATAATCTTCAAAACCAACTTGGTCACAGCAGATGTCTCTGTAACAATGAAAAGTAAGGAAAAAAACTCATGCCACGTCCACGCACGAACACAGCTATGGGAGGCGTGGAGAGGTGCAGGACGCGGTGCTGAGCAGCCCTACCTGCGGCCGCTCTCGCTCCGCTCCCCGATGCGCCAGGTGCTTCGCCTCGTTTGTCGTTTTCCCACCGCGAAGGCAGCGCCGGATCGCCGGGAGCATCAGCAGGACCCGGGATGAGTCTGCAACCGCCCTCCTCCCAGCAGAGCGACCGTCCCCGCTCGGGACCCGCGCTCTTCTCTTCCCGGCTGCAAGCACAAGCGTCGCTCGGACCCCCCCGAGCCTGGACGGCAGCCCCCGCTCCCCCCCCCCCCCCCCGCTCCCCGGCCGACGGGGGAGCCGCTCCCGCCACCGCAAACTTCGGCAGCCGCATCCCCGCCCGCCGCGGCTCCGGCTCCGGCTCCCCCCCGGGCTTGGGCGCGACCCCTCCGCGGGGTGCGGAGCCACGGGCCGGCCCGTGTGTGCGTGTCCGTGTCCGTGTCCGTGTCCGTGTCCGTGTCCCTGTCCCTCTCCCCCCCCCCCCCCCCGCTCCCAGCCGTACCTCGGCGGCGGCAGCCGGGGCTCAGCCCGGCCCCGGTGCGGCGCCCGCGCCTCCGCCGCCGTTTAAATGGGCAGGTTGGGGCCCGGCAGGGAGCATGCGCTGCCGCGGGCGGAGCGGGGGGGGGGGGGGGGGGGGGCTCGGCCGCCCCGGGCCGCCCCCCCGTCCGGGGAGAGCAGCCCCTGGCCCGCGGAGCAGCGAGGAGCCCCCCCCCCCCCCCCCCCCAGCCCCTCACCGCGGCCACCAGCCTCGTGGCTCCGTCATTCAGCGGGGACGAGGCGTTCAAGGCGAATAACTCGCGTTTTTAAAAAGCCCTGCTTCTTCCCCCCCCCCCCCGTTTCTTTATGCTCGAGAATTACCCACAGCATGAATGGTTTCTTGTTGTGTTTGGTTTTACTAATCTATTCATTACTTGTAATTGCGGGGATTGTATGCAAATGGATTCTATGCTATGGGAAGCTTGTGACCTGGCCCCTGGACATTATTCATGGTAGATGACTGCTTAAAATCACATGGCGTGTGTGCATGTGAGGGACACGGACGGAATATATATGCTTATACCAAGAGATCTAGACATTATACCAGCACCTAATTGGTCTAACAATAGCTGAACAGAACCATGAGTTGAGGAAAAATGAATGCTCTTATGCATACATCCAGCCCTCGAGATAAGAAGCCTTAGAAGGAACAGCCTTCCTTAAACATCTGCATCAACAAATGTCTTTTTCTATGTGAACACTCATGAGCAGAAGATAGGAAAACTGAGACAAGAATGCAGTTGACAAAACCAGCTGTTCTTAAATTAATGTTTGCAAATGCTTAGGCCAGCTCTCCAGTTAATAGGTCATCAAAAGACTTGTACTAGTTTGTACTATTTAAAGATCTGGCCCTCTGTTTTGCAATGTATTGATCCAGCTCCACTAGTTGCAGAAGCTTTAGAAAGATCTAGTTATTTTTAATCTTCACTGGCTCCCTCCTTTGAGCAACTTTGTACCTCTCAAGGTCAAAAATCCCATTTCCATGTCACATTTCAGCTTGGATCAGCAGGATAGTCTTGTTTTCACTGTGAGCAGCTGTTCCTTCCCAAAGTTTGCTGAAAGAACTCGCCCTACATAGGAAAAGCAGAGAGGCACCTGCATTTGTTGTCACTTGAACTGATGAGAACTCACTCACTGGAGTGGCTGACAAGGAGAAATGACACTGCTGTTTCCTGAAAAAAAAAATTTGGCACTCCAGATGCAGCTAGGAACTCACTAAAAAGCCCCAAAACAAACCCAACAGAAAACACTGAAGAGCTACACTATGACCTAAGTTGGTAAAGTGCCAGAGCCCAAATTTGGGTGGGGAGAACTGCCCCTGTTTTCTAGTCAGGGAAGTTCACAAGCAATTAAATACCTATTAGTGCTGCCTTTTTTTTTTTTTTTTTTTTCTCCCTCCCCTCTTTTGCACTGGAGCGTTGACTCTCCTGAGGTGGATTCACAAATGCTGTGCCTACACTGAGCTCGAGGAGCTCGGCATCGCAGGGCTCAGCGGTTAGACGAGCAGCATGAACTTGAGTTTCCTATCTTCTATTCCCAGCTCTGACTCACTGCGTGATCTTGGTTCAGGCACAAGCAGCTGGTTTTACAAAAGAAATTGCAGGCTGTGGTGGTGGATGCTCCCGGACTGTCACTAAGAGGAGGCTCTGCTCGTTTCACCGATCGCCACAGTGTGCTGGCACTGATTCAACGGGCCGGGAGTTCTCCGAAGCTCTGCAAGTCAGAGAGCAAAACAGCAGCTCCACGTGTTGTCTATACTAACAACAGGAGGCAGGGCAGGTCACAGAAAGTCTTGCTTGTTACTCTCAAAAGTCATGAGATAGATTAACATTTACAGTTCCGTACCAATACATAAAACCAATATCTCCTGGAGACAGACAGGGTTTGTTCAGAAGTGGTGGTCTGGACCAGAGTCAGGGGAACTGGCATTGCTAACAGGCAGATAACATTTTCTAGACTTACCAGACAGAAAGTGGGTTTAACTATGGCTAACTGAGCAGATTAGGACAACTGATACTCTGCTACATCAAATACTAGTTCATTCGTGCTTCACTTAAATTCCTAGCACATATGACCAATGCCCTTCAAATTGAGCCACTATAAAAGTTAGGTGCTACTCCAATATTTCAGCCTTCCCATCTCATCTCATTTGCCCTTTAATAAAGCAGTGATAACAGTATTTATGCACTCTGACAAGCACTTGGCAACTTGTTGATAAAGGTTCGAGTTGGTTCAAATGTATCTTTATTGCAATAATCTCTTTATATTCCAGCCAGACATGGAATATATGCAATATTCTGCTCCTCCATGGAAAGCATTTGTGGGTTCTAGCTGCAGGTGAACACAGCTCTAGTTCCTCCCACTTCACCAGGGCATTTTCACACTTAGCTTAAAGCACCCCTTCATCTCACCTGGCTTCTGCTGTACAGGACAATCTCTGTGCTGAACTTCTACATCTTGTACTAGTTCTCGGTACAAGGAGCACAGAAGGAAACCTGAGCTCTGCTACATGTTTTTTCTTTGCACAATTTTTGCCCCTTTCTCTCCATAACACCACCGCTTTCGTTTACTGCCTCCTGCTCATGATGGTTAAATTCTCTGGGGCAAAGCAATGCTTTTTTTTCTAAGCTAGTAGCAAGGTACTAGTCCTGCGTAGCTAAATAAAAATAAATAAATAAAAAAAAGGCAAAACAAAACAAAAATTACTCCCCTCTGGAGGAACAAGCACTGGTGTTACAGCCAGAGACATATGTAAGAGCAACTAAGGTGGCAACACATCAGGGATGACACTTACAAAGCTGTGAACAAGCACAAATTCAAGTTTCATGGTCCCCAACACAGAAGGGACAGCCACAAGGGCAGCTTTTCCCTCCACTCCCTCTCACCCACTCGCACACCCATGCAGCGCTTGAGTGCCGATGCTTGCCTACAGGGCCTCAGCTGAGGCCTTCCACGTCATTTCATAAACGTTACCAGAGGGAAAGAAGGCACAGAAGTAAAACACAGCCACGTCCTGGTGGAACTTCCACTCCTCCCTGCTCAGGTCCTCCTTCTTTCCACTAGTTTTACAGATCTCACAACCGCCAGACGACGCTCCCCGCAACTGAGCAAGACCAAAGGACTAGGCATTCCCTGAGCCTTCTTACGTGCTCCATAACTCATCCATCAACCAACCAAGGATTTCAGAGCACCTTACACATTTTCCCGTCGCAGGGCTCCATGCTGACAGCTACTGAAGATCCCAGACCTAGCTCTCAGAAACACTTTGGCAAGGACGCAGTGGGATCTTTTGTGGGATCAGCAACTCCAAAAATTTAGACCATATATTGTGTACCTAACATGGCAATAAGTGCCTGACATTATTTATACTAGTGGTTTTAGTAGATCCAGCCTGGGTTTATAAATGGACTTAATATCTTTGCTGAAGTAGGACTAGAAGGTTCAAAACATTGCAGGATTGAGCTATCATGGGAATCTGCAAACTAGATTAATTTATCAAAAGGGGGAAATACAGAGCCAACTGCCATCTCAGCTGCTCATGCCTGATTAGATCATAGCATAGATTTTCCCTGGTTTTATCTAAATCTCATGTACCCGGCCAACTGGAGCTTGTGGTATTGGCTAGAATATTGACGGGGTTAGGCACCATCACATGTGGCAGATTAAACAAGGAGCCAGAGAGCTGGAGACCACCTCAGCTTCACCCTGGGTGCGCTGTGACAGTTTAGATTCCTCTGCTGCAGCTACGCAGACAGAATGCACAATCCTCGTCTCTACAGATCTTAATCTTGCTACACAGAGGGATTTCATGGATGCTCTGATTTACCCTGGAAGCCACCACAGCCCCAGATTGGCCAAAGGTAGCTGTAAGCCCATTTTGTCCTTAATTACAGAAAACACAAGTCCTCAACTTCATTGCAGGCTGTCTGCTGACTCACAATGGGAACCTTTCGCTCTCTTTAAGCGAAGAAAATAAACCCGAAGAAAATAAACCCGTCCTCAGGACCCCACCCAGGTTGGTTAGGAGTGACTGTTTACAGAACACTCAGATACCGAGGTGGAAAAGTGTTAGAGAAATGCAAAGTAGAAACATACTTTGGTGGAGCTTAGTGATGTTGCCTTGAGAACAAAGGTGGAATTAATGGTGGACATTCAGGGCTTTCAGGAAGATTTTTTCCTGGAAAGCTGACAGCCCCAGACCTCTCGTGCCAGTCAGGAATGATGCTGCCAGAATATGGACTTTGTATAATTGTGTCTAAAGCACCTTTAAAGAGAAAAAGCCACTAGAACAAACAAAAGCAGCGCCCGGCTGTGCAGGCTGTTTATACTTGAGGTAGCCAGAGCAGGCGGCTGCACTTTAGGGCTTATCTTCACTCTCTTTCTAAACAGGAAATGTATTTTTGTCTCAAACATTTCAGGAGAAGCCACCAGCCTAAAACTTTCAGAATGTGGGGTGCCAAAAATGAGCGTTTCAACTCCCTCATGAGACCTGAGACAAGGCGGGTGGGTACCCAGAACAGCAGGAGTATCGCCTCCAACCACAAGAGGAACGTGGCAGGGCCAGGAGGGCCAGCTCTGCTGTGCACCGGGGGTCCTCCAGCACCTCAGCTGGAGGAAAATCAAGGGATGCAAGTGAGGCTGCCAGATCAACCCTTGTGCATACAAAAATTGCCACGGTCTGCATAATTGAGGAGGGAGGATCTGGGGCAGGGAAACTACAGAAATTGCATTTTCCGTGGCAGCGGGGGCTCCTCGGTAGGGGCATTACCTCCGGCTGGAGTGGTGCCAGGCTGGAAGGTGCCTGCTCCTGAGGACTGAAGAGAACCGCACACATTCCTGCTTCCTCTCCCACAGCAACTGTAAGCTGCAACATCCCACAGGTTTCCTATCTCCTTGCTTAGTGCCGTCATCCCCAACTACTGGTGCAAGCAGCCGGTCTTGTCTGTATAAGACTGCAGGGAGGACACTGTATCAGCACTTTACTGGCTTTACACAAGTTTTAGCTCCCCCAGTTTTGCCATAGGTTTCACGATACTTAAAGTG